GTGTCACAGTGAAATACTAGAGCATATACTCGTCAGTTTTAAAGCCAGCCATCACTACGGCTGCTTTAGAGCTTGACCATAAGAGTTCTTTGATGAGCCGCAGACTCTGCGGCACTCTTTGATATTATATTATTTCACACCCCTCGTGTTGTCCTTGAAGTTTGTGCAAAGGAAACATATAAGAGCATATTTCTCCGACTCAGACCAGTGTTTGTTCCCCATCTTGACAAAGGAACTGTGCTTGTTGGTGTGCCTTGGTCAAGTTGACCAGGTCGACGCCATTCAATGCACCATTGATTTTCTGCCAATAGAACCATACCTACTACTTCTCGAAATAGCCAATCAAAGCGCTGCACTGGTCTTCCTTTCAAACTTTCATCGTTTTATAGGAAAGTTTTAGCAGGTTTGAAGGTTTGCTCTGATTGGGTGACAATTTTTTTTCTTACTTACTTTCCAAACGTGATAACCACTAATAGTGGTTATCATTGTTGGGTACAGACAAGCAAAGTGCAGCCGAGAGACTTCCTGGACATCGAGAAAGGACGAGCTGTTGCAGCATGCCCAGCCAAGACAAGTGGGTCCAAGTGAGAGCAACAAGAATCGCTATTGGGCTAACTTGGTGAGAGTATTCTGGATAAGGTGGCTTTGACGCGTAACCAGCTGGAGATATTAGGACCCTGTGATAATTATACGAAGCTTGCGCTAGCTTATTATCACTGCTGCGGAAGCCAACCCCGGTGCCTTTGTCTACAACAATGAGCGGCTTCTCGCATTGGGCTTCCTAGCAACATTCACGCAACACTTATCACAGTTAAATATTTTGTACCCCTAAGGTCAGTCTGTGGACTATCGACTCAGGTAACAATCGCGCAATTAAAGGGGGGGGGGGCAACACCGCCAATGTAATATTGGTTAGGCTGTCGAGCCAACCTCCCTGCCTCAATAAAGAACACCGGAATCTTATAGCCTTCAATATGTTATGCGTCTGATCTTGCGTTAAATCGTTTTTAAATTGGTTTGGTTTCCCTGTAATATCACATTTATCGTTTAAATTGCATTTACATCACATGCATTATTCAGTGTTTTGCCTAAAAAAAAGTATTAATAATTCCAATCTTATTTTTCTTCACATGCCAAAAGCGAAGGAGTTTCGGCTTGAGCTGACGTGATCGGCTCTTGGTTGCACCCATCACGCCTTGGAGCGACGGGCCATGACGACAGCAAAGCGGGACGTTGTTGCGAAGAACATCCTTGACCAACGTCGCCCGAGGAAAGTTGGTAGACGCAAACCCAATCATGTCTTGCGGGGGCATCGCCACCTAGTTACACTTACCGACAAAGAGCTATCTCGACGGGAGAAAGGATGGAATAATCGCTTTACAATCGATCCACCACCTAAATCCAACAAGGTTCCTTCGCCGGCTCATTCGCCTACATTCAGTACCCCGCCAACACCATTAACGAAAGAATTCAGGATGCAAAACGAACGAGCTCAGTATGGTACGATGAAGATGCTCTCTTTTTTCAATTGTTTGTCACTAATAGGTCATGAACAGGTAAGTGTGGTGACAAGCGCTATCGTACACCGATAAAACCATCGAGTGGGAAGCTGGTTCCACTGGGAACTTTATCAAAGCCCCCTTCAGTAGGGCTACTCTCTTCTGCTATCTCTGATTTTGTTGCCCTTGTAGATATTAATACTGTGCACTGATGATACAGGAAGCTGTTCAGTCTACCAAAGAAGACAAATTACGATTTAGGGCTCTGAAAGCCATCGACGCCCGCGAGACGCTTCTGTATCAGCTGAGTGCTCTTATTCTCTGCACACCTGTACAGGAGACACTGTTCATACCGTCAAGACCAACCGAACCCTTAGCAAGAAATAGCGCGAGCTGGCAGCAAATGCGATCGAGGGGTGGGATGGCTCTCGCACCAACCCCCTTGAGTCGACATGGTGGCGGCTCTGGTGTAATGACAAATGCTCGCGAAGCCACAAAGCTAGCCCAGCAACTCGCTACTGGTCTACAGGTTACTGGAATTCAATGCGTTGAAGCATTAGTCGAATGGATGCTTGAGGCTGGAGCGCGAACAGAGTAAGCTTGCTGGAAATGTGCAGGTCCTTGGCATCAACTAGTATTAACGTGGATACTGCTGTGTCTAGAACTCCTCCGACGTTTATGTGGCGCGGGAGAAATTACTTTTTGAAGATGCTCAGAGATTTGGATTTTGCGCAGGCGGAGCTGCTGGCTAGAGGCGTCCACTTGGGCTACTTTAAGCAACACAACCCCCTTTTAATCAAGTCAAATCAAAAGCTCGGTCGAGTGTTGGCTGCTCACTCTATCATCATGGAAATGATCGAATTTGCGAAAGACGTGACTCCGATAGAGTTGCTTGCACTTAGTGGACGAATGCGCGACCCTGACGGTGAGGAGACAGAAGCCAGCGATCCATTGTTCGACGTCCGGGCAAGGACCAGTGGACTTGGTGCTACAAACAGCAATACTAAAAATCCAGCGATGGACGTTCAGAAAATGCTGTGTGAAACTATGTACAATGAAGCATCAGAGCGTCACGATTGTGAGTCTGCAGCAGAACTTGCTAACTTGCTCGATGAGAGCATGGATTTTACTCGCGAAAGAGCTTTGCGTGAAGGTGCTACCAATCAAGACGATATTGCAAGTAATGAGTTTGGAGACGACGAAGAAAACATTAAACCAGCGACCCTGCGACGTACAGCTGGCACACTAAACAATCTGGAACCAGACAACCGAAAGGAAGCTCTGGAGATTAGCAAAGCTGAAGACCCGATTTTCGTAGGCGAATTTATGGTCGGCATCGATAGCAATGATGAGCAGTGTGTGCCCGGAAACACTGTTCCACAACTCGCACCAGAGGTATGCACGCTTCCGGCTGAAGACGCTGTTCATCCTGAGCAGCCAAACGACAATCCTGCAGACGCGATTTCTCCAGAAATTGAGGCCGATATCACCAGGGAATCAGGTGTCGACACTGAGCAACCACATTCATCACGGTTAAACGTAAGCGACAATCAGCTAGAGTACGGCAACAGCTTTGATGTCAATGCGGGTGGTGATGAAATCGATGAGGAAAGTGTCAACGTCCAGTACACAGAACAGTTTTCAGATGTGAGCGAGAGTGCTGTGCCTGAAAGATACAAGCCTGGCCAAACAACATTACCCGAGGATTCTACACATAATGAAGCTATAAATGCATCTGTCTCACGTGGAGAATCATTGTCATGTCGATCAGAAGATATTTTAAGTGGCGCAGAGGACGATAACAGTTTCAACGAAGATGTTGACGACTGGAATCCCGCCACCTCTATTGATACTGATACCGCAGCAAGAATCACAGACTCTGCTGTTATAGCACATGTACCGGTAACGATATACGACGTACCACTCATTACAATGCAGTCGGACGAGCGCATAGAGAGCCTTGAGAGTGAACATCGTGTTCATGAGACCGACGACCCTCAGGCTTTATCGAAAAGACTAGAAATTGAGCTGAAGCGATGGACATTCCTCGATGATGAAAATCGGCCTACTGAAGTGAACGCGCGGGGTTGTCGGACGTGGCACATTACACGAGCATTAAAAGGGAACCTCCAGCAACACTCTTCAATTAGTGAATGCATGGAGGGGTCTATAATCTCGATGCTTGAACAGTATGGGCTTTTGGTACCGGAATCACCATTGAAGAGTCTCCTCTGCAGTGATGTAGCGCGAGAACTGGATCTAGCATCGCGTCTGGTTGAAGAGTGCCATGCTGTATTGGATGACATCTGCTCTCTTGTCGCGGAAGCGATTCAGACTTCCCTGAGGGTGAAAAACTCGCTAGTGTCTGAGATTGAGATTCAGGAGGTGCTAGAAACAGCGGAGGCTGTGCGTTTAGAGTATCATTGCTCGACGTGGCAGTATGTTAAAATTGCTTCGACGCTGCTAGTCTTTCTCGTTGGAGATAATGACGCACTAGCATCGGTTAAGTGCCCATTACCATTCTCTTCAGGGCCCAACCCGCTTGTAAAGATGTTCTACCCATACTTGCTTAATAAACCCCGAGAAGAACTCCGTGACAATTGGCATCCAGTCACCAGATTTCTAGCAGCAATGGGACTGCCCATCGAGGACCTCTACATTTTGCTAGACCCCATGTGCAAGACGCTTCTTCTTGCTGTGAAATTGTGCAGTCGATCTACCCAAGATTCACAAGACGATGGCGATCTCGTTGTATTTCCTAACGCCACAGTCGTTTGTGATCGGGAGGATATATTACAGTCAAGTGTTGAGTACGTTTGGCGCACCCACCTTTCGTCTGAAAAGCCTATCTCAAACTTTTGTCTTTCCCCGTTCTTCAAAAGTTCGTTTGGTGAAAAGCTTGTGGATGGAGTAAAGGTTGAAGAAGGAGAAGGAAAGGGCCCCCTGAAGGAATGGTTTACACTAGTGGGAGCTCAGCTGACATCGAAATGGAAACCATTACCGACTAGCAAGGTTTTAACGGACGCAGATTCGACGCAGGTAACTGCAAATGGAAACACGATAACAATTCCGGGGGCTTCGGATGTGATTTTCCCAGGCTTTCTGCTTGAATGGGAGACAATTGAAGGTGAAACGAACCGTCGAGTTGTCAACAAGACCTTGGGAAATCATGCCTTTCTATTAGATCGGAGTGTGCCATCGTGCTCATTCGTGACATGTCAATTACGAATATCGCAGCCAATTACTGCTATTTTCGAGTATGTGCAAGGATCCGAAACCTACTGGCTGAACGAAAACACTTGCAATTCACTCGAGACCCGCCATGCACTCGGATTTGTTGGGTGGTTGCTTGCTAGTGCTATTACGCATTTCTGCCCGATTCAGCTGAGGATACACCTACTGTTCTTTCGTTTATTGCTGAACCCTCAGCATTGTGTGACATTGGAAGAAATTCGCGTATTCGATCCGCCGTTATTCAAATCGTTATCGATGATGAGAAACATGAAGCCGCTCGATTTTGCTCAGTTTCTTAAATACGAAGGTGCTGACGATGCTCTGAGCGTTGAGGCTTACATCAGTAATGTGCTGGAAGAGAAGTTTGGCCCAGCCTCTGGGATCGGGTGGCAACTTCAAATTATTCGTTGCGGGTTCACTCGAGTTGTTGGTATTGATCTGCTCGGTAGTGTTGGGATCAGTGAGGCAGACCTGGTAGAGAGCATTTGTGGAAGTAGCAGTGGCCCGAGCGATGATTTTTTCATCAATGAGGTTTTCCGAGTGGTCGCTGACACCGACTTCACGGACTGCCAGCCGTTGATGAATGTATTTTGGCAGACTGTGAACGGCTTTGAGCCCCATTTAAAGCGGAAGCTTATCAAGTTCGTGACCGGAGTGGATACACTTCCCCTGGCAGGAACTGAAGTAAGTCCGTGCATTTATCTGTGTGATTTCTTAGATGCTGCTAAGCTGAATTGCACCTGCTAGTTCTTGCGAATCGAGATGCCGTTCACTGCAATATCATCGGATGACCACAAAAAATGTTTGCAAATGCTCCCTCAGGCACATGTACGTACTTTGAAAGCGTATGCTAGTGAACACAGCTAAAAAAACACTAACTCGTGATACTCTCGTTAGACATGCGATAACACGCTAGAACTACCTAATTATTGGAAAGCGCTCTGCTGGAGAGAGCAGCACGATGAGCATGAAGCAAATAGCAAATTGGAAGAAAAGCTGAAGCTTCTGTTAAGCAAGAAACTGTACGATGCAGTCGAGTACTCGAGTGGATACGGACTTGACGGCACGTCAGCAGTCGCAGACGTGCTCACTGGCAAAGCTGAATATGAAAAGTTGGCAAAGGAGGAGAGTTACGATTCGCTGGACATTCCTGCTTTGTCAGACGGATACCTACTCGATAAAGATGCTCCCCTGTCGCCTCAGAGATTAGAAAATGACGAGGTCGAGACCGATGCAGCCTTAGCTGCTGATTCTGAGGCCAACCCGGCAGAATCACCTGCCGTGGACGTGCCGCCTCGTCCAGAGGAATCCTACGAAGACGACTACGACGACTGGGAAGAAGAGCCCGTGACTTCAGATGTCAAGTTTTAGAGTAAGAAAGGAGGAGTCATCTGGTTGAGAGCGGCAAATGGTATCGATATTTGCCGACGTATCAAAGATTTATACAAACGTTACTTTAAAAAGCGTGAAAATCTAGGTCTAATGTGAAAATTTCAGTTTTTTTCCTCACTAGTTTTCCTTGTCAAAATGAACAGTGGCGCGGAACGTGGCTCAAAGCTACCAAAACAATCACCGTAATCTAAACGGTAATTTAGACCAATCAGTTGCTCGTTTAATGGCTTTCTGTTTTAAAATTAATTATGCCCGCCCATCCGGTACGCGGGATCATATCTAATTATTATTACTAGATCGTCTGCGACTAACGCTGGGAATACCGTTTTATTCTGTGCCTTTGTGCTAATTAACGGCTGCACCGGCTAACTATGTTCAGCGCTGCGCATTGCAGCAGCAGGAACACCGGTTGGAAAATAATATCAATATTAAAATTGTTGTGCTTTTTGTACGCAATAACTTATTACCGCACCTTTTTCCTTCTAATACTTAATAAATATGTAAAATATTTTGCAACACTAACTCCTTACAGCATGTAAGAACAAATTAAAATCTGGGATAATTTATTAATTACAATAATTGATCAAAATATCACATTACTGTACAAGTATTGATCAGTCCTGAATTGCGATGTATTATACTGAGCTTGAAAACCGAAATATCGCTAGCTCCCCGAGGGTTGAAAGCAATAAAGACTCTTATATCAAAAATTTCTTGCTCGTCTTCATCTCGGCCTAGGAGTTTCATTTGATCATTGAGCACGAGCAAATCGTATAGATGTTATGAATCCTCGTGGTCCCAACAGCGGAAGGTAACCAGGCACGGGAAGCCTTTTACGAGGGCACCGAGTGTTCAACACTCGGCTGGAAGAATAAAAGGGATGCAATACAGGCACTCCCAGTCGTGCAAATAGGCAACAATAAGCCGTCACGTAAACCTCCGATAGTAATCGGCCAATACACACACAGTTTGTTGGCCTTGCCGGATGAACCCTCGCTACAGAGCTTTGAGTTCACCGACAGGCATAACACACTCAAACAAGCTTGACCAGACGCTTACCTTGACGCCGGACGTCGCTCTGTGTGCCTGAGTGGAAATTCTTATCTGTATTAATGTTTACCTTTCGGGCCTATTCCTAATAAGAAGTCCTAATTATGTAAACAAATATCGAGTGAGTTATGATCCATTATGGATCTTCTTGAGCGTAAAGCGTCGTCTGCAGCGTCGCATGCGCATTTTTAACAGATCTCGCGCTTATCCAGACGGTGACCATGCTTTCAGAGAGACGAGGAGTCTTCCGCGAGCTCATCCCAACCACAACCGAGGGTTCAGCTCTTGGCAGCTGAATGCGAATCTGGTCCGTCCATTATCACTCCGCTTCTAACCTTCTAACCTGTCCGTCCGTCTGTCGGTTCGCTTTGTTGCTGCTTACATCTGCCTTTCGCATGGCTACACTCGGCCTATTAAATACAGTTTCTTCCCATCTTTCTACTGCGCCTACCTTTCTGACTCGATCTAGCTATGACAAAAGTAAAAAAAAAAATAACCAAAAAGCGGACACAATTAACTCGCGCCCTGATAGGGCAATATTGACCGACCTGCGACACTGACTGGGTCTGTCGCACGCACGATCAAGCGGTCTGACGCACTCGCGATTGGACATGATGTAAGCATTTCTGCCGAGCACGAAACGCACCGATTGGATGCAAACAACCATGAGTTGTGTTAGCGATTACGTATTTATACTTAGCTACGCAAAACCTGTCCTATGTACATCAAATCGGGCACTCTAACAGCCGCGTTTTGTAGGGACTTTGCGAATATTTTTTTACTTCTCCTGGCATTCACCCCTGTCACGGTGCAATGAAGGCGCGCAGATGCATGGTCATTGCGCTACCTGCTCCCGTGCACCGCACCCAATGAATGCATGCGCGCACGGTACATATTTTTAGTCACTTTTATATCATGGAAAATCAGTATTTGTTTGTAAAGCTGATAATAGTATTATTGTAGGGAAGCAAAATACTAACTAATAAAACATTTTAAAATTTTGTTTAATAATAAATAACAGCCTTACAGTGCCGTGCTATTGGCTAATATTTTGACGGAAGTAATTGGTTAAAACAATATAATTTGTTGACTTACTCACAGTTTGCGAAATGGTGGGTCCTACGTGCAAGCAATGCGAGGCAAAGATTTACCCGCTTCTGCTGAACCCGCAGCAGTCTACGACGATTTCCCGGGCGCGCTGCAGCTGCTGTGGGAGGCTGCAGTACGGTTACGCGTTCCGTACAATCAGCCGACGAGACTTCGTGCGGCGCTGTATTGCCTGCGAGAAGGGTCCAAACAAGGTTGAGGTTTGGGAGGATAAGCCTCCCCCCACCTGGTTCGGCCGAAGTGCTCCGCCAGGAAAGCTTGGCAAACGTCAAGAAGGCTAGGGGCTCGAATTGGTACCGCTAAAAATAATAAGAAGATCATCCGGCCTCGCAAGGAAAAACGCAAACGCCAAGCACATCGAGCAAACAAACAGAAGAAGAGCAAGTGATTTAAATATATACCCTTTTAGGCCCCCTCTTTCCTACCTATCTTTGTAAGTCGTAACCTAGCGGATATTGTGAGACCTGGGACGCACATACGGGGTATCACATAATAATTATCACACGGTACTGTGGTGAAGTGTTTTTTTTAGAAATAAGAGAATGGGCCTGACGCGGGGTCACTATCCCGAATCAGTGACAATTTCAAGTGATTAGAGAGGATTTGGGTTGGCTGGCACGGATGCAAGTTGCCTGTGGTGGATTAGCCATGGCGAGCAGCACCCCGTATGGAATGACGATGGATCTGATATGAGCGACGTACGAGAAGGCAAGATCCACCAAGACTTACCTCGGATCCACCCTTACCTGGATTCACTAAGATGGATATGGGATATACTATACAAGAGTGGATCGAGTGTGGATCCTATGAAGGAAGGATGGTCGGTGCCCTCTGAAGGTGGATCTAGTAGCCACGGCTAATGAAGAGTCAAGATCCACCGCGAGGTACCCCGGATCCCATACTTCCGAGTTCGGATCCAAGGAGGGAGGATCCCGCCTGGAGGGACCTGGATCCAGGGTATAGGGATGATGGATACAGTGGATCTCGAACTTTCGTGGGACAATGGAGATCACAGACGGTTGCGAGATGATGTTGGATGATGGGAGAGCTCAGATCGACGACGAGTGCAAACTTACAGTGAAGTGGATATAAGCGACCTGGATCCGGATGAGTGTGCCCATAATAGGGGACCATGATGATTACGTCATGGATCCGGTGGATCTGAAGATAATACAGCTGGGATGATGGGTCAAGGGAAGAAGGGACATGCAGCCGAGCCTGGTAAGGGATTTAGCAGATGAAAGACATAGAAGGTAGAAATCCAGGCAGGTATAGGCTTAAATATCAATACAGACTCCAATTTGCACAGTGACACGCAAGTGCCTTCCTGCCCTCAAGAACCGGAACTACATTGGCCGTACGAGCTCCGAGAAGGTTGGGAATTGCGAATCTAGTGTTGGTAGTGATAACTGGATAATACATTGGCCAGATCCTACAACCTAGTGAGCTTTTCCTTTACTTGTGCAGATCCGACAGGTTAACCGAGTTTACTACTTGGTCGGTTACACCCTAGGGGCTCTCAACTTTCAAGATCCCGTCACAGGAGGCGGCAAGTACGACGCAAAGGAACTACAAAGGCAAGGGAACACACCCGCAAGGCAACCCTACGGCCAGATCCACGATCTAGGCCCCGGATCCATAAGCTCGAATATTCGCTTAGGATACGGAACCATCCACGGACGCAGAGTGAAGATTTTCCACTGCTGCTCCACCCCATCCCCACGTCTCGCCAAGACGCTCAAGCTTCACCACTTGAACTCTTCGGAAGTTACCGAGAGAGCAAGATCCCGCCCTACCGACGGGTACACAAGGTGAGGAAAGTTCAGCAGAACACGGATCATCGGGGGACCCCCTCCGTTAGTCGGTGTCTGGGCGCAGTTGGTAAGTTGGATCTGGCAATCTCGCAGATTTTGCTGATCCCGCTACACCACAATGGTGCGCGTGCCCGGATCTTTTGGTGACTCGGGATTTCACCGTGAGTCCCAAGAAGATGCTCAAGTGAAGATTGAGCCAGGGGAAGAGGCGTCGTCGGAGGTCGGATCGACGAAGACGCTGCTGAATGAAACAAGATCCGCGGATCTATGGAGTTTTGGGAGGAACTCTGTCGACGGAAGAGAGGTGGATCCGGATCCGGATCTAGAAGATAAACCTCTCTATCCTCCCCAGGTCCCCTCGGGGACCCCTGCGGATCTTGACGCAAGTCAAGATCCGCTAACAAAACAAGGTAAAGTGAAGACGAAACGGTATGCATTTGCAGATTCACCGGTTAAGCCAACACCGTACCTAAACCCAACCCCGCTAGTCGAAGAAACGAGAAAGAAGACGAAAACGAGTAAGACTACGCGGAAGAAGATGCAAGCTCCAGAGTCGGAAGAAGACCAAGCTGGATCCAGGTCAAGCTGGTCCGACAAGGATCTCGAGTTTGTGTATCGCCACCAAGCTTTACGCGACTTCCTGCACCAAGATCCTGTCATGCAGATCCTGAATTCACGACAGATCGACGATCCAAGGAAACCGGTGAGAGCACCAACGAAAACGGCGAACAAGTTGGTGGCAGTCAAAGATCTATTACGTTTGCTTACGGAGTCAGGCATCGTAGCTGGTGTGTTCGACGCAGAGGATATCTTCGAGCTAGACCTGGATCTCATAGTATCCGCGACGCGGGACCTCTTTGCCAGAGTTAAGTCCATCACCGGAGAAAGGTCGCGCACTATGGATCCAGTGTCGTCGCCGAGGATCAGCCAAGCTGCGTCCTCAAACTACGAATCCGCCGCTGAGGATGAGTCAGACGCGTCGTCCGAACCACGACGCATGACTTAAGGACCCTCCGGGGCATCCATGCTGGAAGCGCGGGCGAGGATCCGGGGACAGGAAGTCCCTGTGAACGTGAAGGCTCGGGATCCAGTACGCCCTACCCGT